CTTGTGGATTATTGTGATGTTTTTATCAGCTGTTTGGACTCTCAATCTGACGGCACCCATTCACTTGCAGTGAGACAGTGATGCAATTTCTCTAAATCTGATGAAGAAACAAACTCATCTACATCTCGGATGGCCTGAGGATGAGCACATTTTCAACAAATTGTTAGGGTTCCCTACAGTCCATCAATGCCAAAGACTGATGCTTTTTGTCATATGCTTCAGTTCACAGCATTAAACAGAGTATCACTGGTTGAAAATCACTTTTTAGTGTGCGTTTGTGTTATACTAGAGTTTTGAGGCGAGGCTGCACTCGACTGTGAACATTGTGGTCATGATGCCAAGTTTTGTTCTTGCCAAATGAACATCTGATCACTGATCAACCAGGTGAAAACAGTTAGGAAAAGCAATTATTTTATTGCTAGTGCTGATGTTTTGTAAGAAGTTGACAGTCAACTTGTAGTCTCTTCCGCTCACCGAGGCTGCATTTATTTGATCAAAAATACAGTAAAAATTGTGAAATAGTTTTGTAATGTAAAATATCTGTTTTCTATGTGAATATCTGTTAAACTGTAATTTATTTCTGTGATGCGCAGCTGTATTTTCAGCATCATTCCTCCAGTCTTCAGTGTCACATGATCTTCAGAAATCATTCTAATATGCTGATTTGCTGCTCAAGAAACATTTCTGATTATTATCAGTGTTGAAAACATTAATATTTTTGTGGAAACTGATACATTTTATTTTTCAGGATTCACAGATGAACAGAAAGTTCAAAAGAACAGCATTTATTTGAAATAGAAATCTTTTGTAACATTATAAATGTCTTTACTGTCACTTTTAATCAATTTAATGCGTCCTTGTCCTCATAATTTTTCTCTTTAGGGCTTGTTGTCGTCCCAAAACCTGGCCAACTCTCCCAGTGGGACGATCGTATAGCTGGACCTTCAGACGCATTATATCTTTACTGTTCACACTGAAGCCTGTCAAGATCATATTTCACTCTAAAATCAACAAAGAACATATATTTTGCATAAACATAATGAAGCCATTAAATTCTACGCATTATTTTCATGACAGTTAAACACGTTTTCAGCCTAACTCTCCTCATTACTGTGATGCAATATATTGTGGAGTACAACCCGAAAGTACCATGAGTTTAATTAAAAGCACAATAATTGGATGGTTTTCACTACTGTGGTCGAATTGTTTTGCACTGATTGTTCATACTGGGTTTTTCTCAGAATTGCATTGGAAGAAAAATGCGTTTAAATAAGCATTTATTTTAATATTGTTTCAAATGAAACGGGTTATTGTACAATGTGTAAATATTGTAAATTACAGATTTATGATGGATTGAAATAATTACACAAAATAGAAAACAGTTGTATTTCTAATGCAGAGGAATTTATAAAATGATCTTAAATAAGCCTGTGTTTGGCTCGTGTTTCATCATCAGATGGTTGCTTATATGTGATATGTTTGTTTTTGTGAGTATGGTTTGAAAATAATTACTAATTTAACCTGAAAATTCATCCTTTGTCTAATCTGGTGTTAAAAAGACTGCTTGTAAATGTCTCAAAACTTGGATCCAACCCTTGCTTTCCTTTAATCAGCACAGGTTTTGTAGTAGTTGATTGAAGGTCTCAGTGATTATTGTCAAAGTTGTCCACAAATAATGCTTTTTTCACTCAAAAACAGGTGCGTGAGCTCAGATCAGGTCCAAAAAGAAATGCAAAACCTGTGCTGATTGACTAAAAACAAGCTGATTCAAAGATCGAATCCAAGATTTGGTGATAATACAGCATGACGAGAGATTAATAAGCAGTTTCTGTAGGCTGGTCATGTTTGACCCGTAACAAGGTGAGAAAAAAAATCCCCCCCGAAATACAAAAATGATCAGTTTTTTGGGAAGCTGTTTTTTTCCCTGTGCTGAGCAAAGTCAGTAAGTTTAACTCCAATGCGAAACATTAACAGCATTTTCAGGAAAAAGAAAACCCTCTCCGGGTCAAAAACGACCCGGACACATCATTAATGCATACATGCATTTAAAAGTTTTGATTTAAATTAGATTGTGCAATTTCAAAATCTGAAGCAAAAACAGAACGGTCTGACTTTAACTTTGTGAAATGATGCTACATAAAACATCTTTAATATGCATTATACAGAGTCAAGATGAAAAGAAAATACCATCTAAACTTCAGTTCCCCTCAGAAATACTTTCATATAAACTCTCACCTCCAATTATATCGCGATTAGCATCTCAACCGACTTGAATCATCACATTTTTATTTATTTCTAAAGGGACAATCTACATAAATCAACATTCATGAATGTAAACGTACCCAAATTAGCCCAAAGGTTTTCATTGGTAGTCCCTTTGCCAGATGGCCTAAAAACGAGAGGAAATAAAATAAAATAAAAACAAAATAGAAATACAATAACAACAAAATACAACCAAAAATTATAAACAACTCTCTAAAATACAATTTAACAATGCATTATACAAAATGACAATATATTAAAAAAAATATATATTATGGGTAAAAAAAAAAAACTAAATATATTGTAG